CGACCCAACCCAGCCGGAGAAAGCTCTCTAACTTCTTCACCACCGGAATCAACACAATAAGCACAATCTGCAGATACTCAAAGCTATTCACCTTAACACTAACTTGGCCGGAACCCCGGTTATCGACACTAAACTGGCCAATCAAATCCGTTTTCCGGCCAATCGGAATCTGAGCGTGGGAACTTAAACCCGCCGCAAAATCTCCGCCAAAATCCACGAAATTAATCCCGAAACTCGACGAAAACCTGCCGGTCAACTCATCCCGATCCCTCATTGTGACCATTAGGTCACCACCATACGCGAAATCCCCGGAACCATAGTTAGCCCCTCCCGAAGCAACTAACTCGACCCATCTCCCGATACTTAATTCTTCCTCCAATTTGAATCCTCCTGTCAAGCACCCGTCTTGAAGGGCCGCCGTGAGGCCCGCGAACGATTTGTTGAATCTTCGGTTGATGAATAAAGTTCGGCTTTGAAGAATGCAATCCTTTCGTGTCTTGTCCTTTTGCACGTCGAGGCATACGATCGTTGCCTTTCCGTTCGCGTGTTTGACCGTGCCGGCAATTTCCATATGGAGGTCCCTTCTGTTTTTGTTTTTGAAAACCTGGCCGTAAAAAGTCACCGGAATCTTGTCACCAATCATGATCGGCCAATCCACGTACATGCCGTCAAAACCGGTATTGTGATCCCAGCCTCTGGTGCTGCGAACGGGCCCAACGGCCCACAAGCTGAAGTAATGAATCAAACGGTACAGATAGGTTGGGTTATCCGAATCGAACGAGGCAGGCAAGTCCGGACCCGAAACAATTATGGGTTCGGATTCGGATTCGGATTCGGGTTCGATCTCCCGGCGCATTTTTTCCTCCTTAATCTGCATTTTCTTTAAAAGCTTCTCCCTGTAATCTACTTCATCATCATAGGCCTTTTTTTCCGATTTACTCAGTTTTTCGAGCTCGGTTTTCGTGAGCGACTTGAAAGGCGGAAGCTTCTCGTACTCCTCCGATTCATCTCCCGAGTCGGAACAATTGTCGTCGATAAGTTGCTCGGAAGGCAACTTAACTTCCTTTCTCCACTGCAAAAAAGTCGATAAAAGTACGGGTAAACTAGGAAATCCCAACCGAGGGACGAGAGGCTTCTTCTCCCGAATAATCCAGAGCAATTCACTCGCCTCCCGCAAGATTTTTGAGACGAAGCACAAGAGCAAAAGGTTTGAAATCCAGAGCTGCCCGTCCGGCAGCACCGGCTGCCCGTCCCGATTCTTTCTGCAGCTCGGGTGGTTCTCTGCCAGAGCCACCGGGTTCATGAACCGGTTAATATCCCCCGAGACGAGGCGCATCATGCGCCGCAAAACGGACGATCTCTGCTCCACGAACGCGCCGTAACTACTTCCCGCCGCCTCACAGTCAGGTGGTGCTGACGAGGCGTGGGTCAGTACACAAATTGTGTCGAGCCAGATGTCCCGCCCGAGCACGGCGGTTATCATCCGCATTAGCGCCACGTCATCGATCCCCTCGCCACCTGCATCCAGCCTGTCGACGTATAAAACGACGTCCGGCCGATTATTTTTAACAAACCTCTTGACCGAGTAAAGGATCCTCTCGTTTTTTAGTATGTCGGACGAGAGGCCGGGAGTGTCGACAGCGCGGAACTCGATCCCGTGCACAGTTCCCATGTGGGTCCGGATTTCCTCTGTTCTGGGCCCGGCTTCGAAAACGGGCCCATTTAGTAAGGAGTTGAGGGTCGAGCTCTTGCCCGAGCCCAATTTTCCGAGGACGAGGATTGTGCAGGGGAAGGAAAACGGGCTCTCACCACCGGACGATTCTAACTGCTCGGCAAACGCATTCGCGCGTTCGAAGGCGAACGAGTCGGGAAAGTTGTTGGGTTTGTGGAGCGAGTGAAGGTGCTCGACAAGGTCCAGTTTGTATAGGAGTTGGGCCACGATGGGGTTCGCCGGAGTTTGGCCCAGACGGTAGACGAGGCGCAAGAATTTAACTCGGATGGAGTGGAGCTTTTCACAGGTCTCGTCTTGTTCAACCGGATTTGGGCTCGGAGGAATCGGTGCGTCGGGGCTGGCGGGCTGGGCTGCACGGGAAGTGGGCTTGAGTAGTAGGGCATGGTCACCGAGGCCAATCGGACGGGCCATGGCTCGGTTTTCCATTGCAAGAAACGAGATTTCAACACCTTCCAAGTCAAACAAAAACACATAGATTTTACAGGGAAATCAAGAAAAAGAGAATTATGAACTAAACAATCAACATGTACAAAAAGGAGGGTATTTTCTTTTGTGTTTGCTATGGGGGGAGTATGCAAACAATTAAAAATTGGATCTTTTTCCCTTTTACAGTCAAGAAAAACCTTAATTTTTTCTCTTCTTTTTTCACCTTATCAATGTATGCAACACAATATAAAACAGGAGAGATTATGCGCTTCACAAGAGACATATTAGCTTTGAAAAATCCTATGTGAAAACAAGTAAAAAGTTGCAAATATACCTAATTAATCAAACAAACAACAACTGAAAAGGCGCAGATCGAAACTAAAAGTTCGTCACAATTACAGAAAAAGCACAGATCTAAACTAAAACTTGCTCACAATTACAGCAAAATTGTGCAGCAAAAAGTATAAATTCAGGATATACTGGAGTTTAGAATGCACAGGATACAAACTTACCAGAATATTTTTATCGTACGTTTAGTTGTCTGCTGATTGTTCTCTTCAACGCCAACATTGAATAATATAGGAAAGCATAAGATGGGCCAATAGTTTACTGTTTGGGCATCGGATAGCGGAAGTCCAATTACTAACTGGGTTAAAGTTTTTGTATAAGCCCATGTACAAAACGCACAAGTGTTAAAATAATTATTTTTAATTTGAATAAATAGATTTTTTTGTCCATTGCATATGGAGCTGGAAGAGTCATGACAATTCTTTTGGCATAGTGCTAATAATGGACTAGATCAAAATGGCTCAATTAAATTCTAGTGCTTCTTCTATTAGTGAAGTTTCTAGAAAAAAATATATCAAACGACGCAACGCACCTTGGGTCGCTATGGAAACAGCCTCCTTGTATAATTACAAAGGTAAGGTTTGCGTACAACTGACCCCCCAGACCCCAACTTGTTGAGAATATATTGGGTATGTTGATGTTGATGTTGAATAAATAAATTTTGTTTAAAATTTTAAACAACTTTTAAAAAATTAAATTATTATTTATATTTAATATGTCACTCGTCGTGTGTCACTTGTTCGACTTATCTCTAGTATATTATAAAATATTTTCTAATTCATACTATATAATTAAAGTTGACATTAGAACATTGGTTAATGGAAATGATACATGGTTAGCATTATGAATGAATATTTAAGTTCGAATTCAATAAATGATTAGTATTATTCAATTTTATTGAGAATATTAAGAGAAGTTAAGTTAGATTAAAATTGAGTTGAATTTTGAATTAAATTTTTTTTTTTTTTTTAAAAAAAGAAGTATTCAATCAATCAAAATAGGTTAAATGTATATACGCGAGTAAAAGTTCTCGAGTATTCATTTAAAATCTTAAAATGAAAAAATCATGACCTATTCAATCTATTTATAAGTTGGATTTGTCTTGAATTTTGTAAGATTTACTGTGATTTCAATAACAAATATCATATTGAAAAATCATGTCAAATTTTACCTCTAAAATCTTAAAAACTCTCATGTAAAATATCACTAAAAGTTCCAAAGAACTTGTAAATTCGCCACATTCTAAGCCCAAATAGACATTGACCACCACGCAACCACCACTCTCGGGGCGGCGATGCTCGCCGGAGCCCACATGCTGCCCTCTCTGCTATGACCCCCAAAAAACTCCGAACAAATCCTTGCGTCATCCAAAATCTTCTGCAACTCACCTCGCGCGGCCACCTCCGTGAAGCCGTTGACGCATTGCCCCTCGCATCCCGCCAGGGATTCTCCGTCAGCCCCAAGATAATCGCCGCCCTCATCCGACAATGTGCGGCCAAGAAATCGATCAAGGAAGGCAAGCTCGTCCACCTCCACCTGAAGCGCACCGGCTCGAAGCACCCCGGCCCCTTTATTTCCAACCACCTGATCAACATGTACGCGAGTTGCGGCGACCACGAGACTGCCCGCCAGGTGTTCGACAAAATGCGCGACAGAAATCTGTACTCCTGGAACAACATGTTGTCTGGTTACGCAAATCTGGGTATGACTCGAGCCGCAAAGAGGCTGTTCGATAAAATGCCGGAGAAGGATTTCGTTAGCTGGAACACGATGGCTGTAGCGTATTTGCAGTGTGGGTGGTTTAACAAGGCCTTGATGTGTTATGTGGAGTTGAGAAGGTCAGCCATAGGGTATAACGAGTACAGTCTCGGTGGGGCCCTGACTGCTTGTGTCAAGTCGAGGGATCTAAGGCTCGGCAAGCAGTTCCACTGTCAGGTTCTTGTTCTCGGGTTTTTATCGAGTGTGATCCTCTCGAGTTCTTTGGTTGATGCGTACGCAAAATGTGGAGAACTGGGTTTTGCGAGGAGATTATTTGATGAAATGACTGAAAGGGATATTGTTGCTTGGACAACTTTAGTTTCGGGCTATGCTTTATCCGAAGATATGGGTTCTGCTCGGGAAATATTCGACTTGATGCCCGAGAAAAATTCGGTTTCTTGGTCTGCTTTAATTGCCGGGTATGCCCGTAACGGGATGAGTTGCCGTTCGCTCGAGTTGTTCAAGAAAATGATCGAGCTTCGGTTAGAACCCGATCAGTTCGCTTATAATAGCTGCTTATTCGCCTGTGCGAGCATGGCTTCAATCAATCACGGTAAACAATTTCACTCTCGTTTGATAACCTCCGGCATTAGGCCTAATGTAGTCGTTTTAAGTTCCTTGATCGACATGTATAGCAAATGTGGAGATTTAGATATGGCGAAAAGGGTTTTCCATAAAATACAAGATAATAATAATCAGCATGCCACCGTGTTGTGGAACACGATGATATCCTCATTAGCACATCACGGGCGAAGCAAAGAAGCAATAGGAATTTTTTCGGGTATGTTGAGTTTAGGTGTTAAACCGGAGAGTTTAACTTTTGTCGTCCTTCTTAACGCCTGTGGCCGTTCAGGGCTCGTGCAAGAAGGGCTTCGTTTGTTTGAGTCCATGAAGCCGTATTACCATATTGCCCCTGGTCAGGAGCACTACGCTTGCTTGGTCAGTTTGTTGGGCCCGGCTGGATTTTTCGATGAGCTGATGAATCAGCTGAAGATAATGCCTTTTTATCCAGATGATCGAGTTTGGAATGCTTTACTCACTATTTGTAAAACCCATGGGAGGAATATGGAGTTTGGTAGAACAATGGCTAAACATCTTGTTGGGCTCGACCCACAATCCCCTGCAGCATATCTTTTGCTTTCTGGTATTTATGCTGCAATCGGGAGATGGGAATCTGCACAAGAGGTTGAACGGCTTGCAAAGTTGCGTTATTTGAAAAAACAAGAGCTCGTTAGTTGGGTAGAAATAGATAGAGTTGTCCGGTTAGGTCATGAACCTAATACATTGGATCGTCCTCAAAAGGAGACGAACATCGTTTTGGAATTGTTATCTGATGGTGGATCGGATTGTTAGATGGTGTTGAAAGATAGAAATTTCTGTGGCTTTTATTTTTGTCTTAGCCGGTTTAAAAGAGTATATGAGGCGAAATGTGTGTCTACTTCGAAAGGTTTTGTTGTGGAAGTTTACACGAAAGGCCTTTTCATTCCCGGTTTTCGCTTTCTTGTTTTTAGGTTTCTACTTTCTATTGAAATTTTTTGGATGTGTACTCTTTCTGTACTTGGATTCTATTCATTGTATGTTTTTAGTCAGATCCCAACACACAGAGAATTTTACTTGGATTTCTATTCATTTGGGTGAATTTTACCTTCGGTTTTAACGCGGTTTTATCAATACACACTCGCAATGTGGGTGTGTGTGATCCAACGGTTAAAACCTGCTCCACATAGCCAGTAGGGTCGGATCTTCCAAACATTTGAATCCCCTTGAGTAATACTTTCAAGCACGGGTGGATGACTTTTGCTTGATAAACAAATTATAATAACTATTTCTTTGTAAAATAAAAGAACATAACGATCAAATGATAATCTACCAACTAATTATTCTAAAAGACGCTAGGTGTTTGGTAGGCGTCGAACTAGGGACTCGTGTTCAGGGCGCTCGGGATTGCTTTTCAAAATTGTGATTGTTACATATACCTCTAGACCACTCCAAGCGATTCGACATTAAGTTATCATCCATCGAAAAAGACCTTGGTCGATCCACATAACCAACCTAAACGTGAAAAATTGTACGAACATTAGCTAAGGCCACGTGTGAACACATATAAATGTGATATTTCCACATAACCATCAACCAATCAAAGAAATCCAAAAAATCCAGCCTTAACGAATGGCATTGAATAGCCTCACAAGAGGGCCATATCCCATATGTCCACAGCCCAAAAGACAAGTGAGATGACTCAAAAATAAAATATAATAATAATAAAAAGAAAAAAAAAAATATTATAAACCAAAAATCGCGCCAATCATTCAACCAAAACCACCACACCACCAACCACCGCAACAGGCGTCCAGTCCACCATTGACAATCATATGCATATCAAGCTAAAAAAAACTCCATAAAATCAATTAATTATTCATTTTATCCTTTAACCCCTTCAAAATCCATATACACACTCGTAGCCCCAAAAAACGCATACACGAAAAAGAAAAAAAGGAAGGAAGGGGGAAAAAGAAACTGTCAAAAACACAAGAACTTTAAATACCTCCCTTTTTCTTCTTCTTCATCTAACAATGGGCGCTCACGTATCCAAACAGGTCGAGCGCAGGAAAGCCATCTCCACAGAGAAAAAGACCCTTATCGACCTCAAACAGACCGCAGGATCCGATTACCCGGGATCCGACTACCACCCGCCCGACCGCAAAAACTGGATGTTGGGTCTCGGTCCGGAAAAGCTTCGGGTCAACCATATCGTCTGGCCCGGCACCCACGACTCGGCCACCAACAAAATCGGCATCCCCCTCGTGACCCGCCCCTTCGCCCAGTGCCAGTCCCTCTCCATCTACGACCAGCTGAAAACGGGCACTCGGGTCCTCGACATCCGGGTTCAGGAGGACCGCCGGGTCTGCCACGGCATCCTCCTCAGCTACGGCGTCGACGTCGTAATCGCCGACGTCAAGCGATTCCTCGGGGAAACCCAATCGGAGATCGTGATCCTTGAGATCAGGACTGAGTTCGGGCACGACGACCCGCCCGATTTCGACAAGTACCTCGAGGACCAACTCGGCGAGTTCCTGATCCACCAGGACGACCAGGTTTTCAACAAAACGGTTTCAGATCTGCTTCCGAAACGGGTCATCTGCGTCTGGAAGCCAAGGAAGGCGGCCCAGCCCAAGCCCGGCGGCCCGCTATGGGGTTCGGGCCATTTGAAGGACAACTGGATCGACACGGATCTGCCGTCGACGAAATTCGAGAGCAATTTGAAGCACCTCGGCGAGCAGCAGCCGGCGGCTGGCCGTAAGCACTTCTACCGGGTCGAGAACACGGTGACTCCTCAGGCGGATAACCCGGTTCTGTGCGTGAGGCCCGTGACGGGTCGGATCCAACCTTACGCGAGGATGTTCATCGCGCAGTGTTTCGCGAAGGGGATTGCCGACCGGCTGCAGATATTCTCGACGGATTTTATTGATGAGGATTTCGTGGATGCTTGCGTGGGGCTGACGAGCGCTAGGGTCGAGGGAAAAGCTTGATCGATTGTTAATGGAGGTTTATGGTGAGAATGTTCGCGGGTAATTTTCCTGTTTTTTTGTTTTTATTTACACGTGTTGTGTCGGTGGTTAAAATCGGTGGCGGCCGCTCGGGTTCTTGATCGGGTTCCGGTGAATTATCCATATGTGTAAAATAAATTATAAATTGTGAGTCATGGGTTATATATAGGATTGATGCAAAATTATAAAATGTGAGTCACTTGTTCTATGTTTAGGGGTCATGCCGGTTGATTTATGATTTATCCGTGTGTATAATTTGTGTATAAGGATGATACATTTGAACAAATTTGTTTCCATTGTTTTGTTCATTGCTTTTTAAGTTTTGGGAGATACGAAGTTAGTAACCGTTAGATCAACTATCCACGACGGTTACATGATGATTTAACGGTTACAAATTCTGACGGAATGGTTCCGTAACGAGACAATAGCATTTCCTTAAAGTAAGTTTTTCTTTATCTTTATTTTTATTACCAATTGTGCGTTAAAAATATATTGAACTATTAAACAAAACGAGTCACTCGTGAGATCGACATGATTTCTTTCTAAGTATTCGAGATACTAAATGAGCTCAAGCCAAACTCGCCTCATTAGAACTCGATTCTCAGGATTTTTATCTAATTTTATATAATTTAATTTGTTAATATTGATACACTACCCGAGCTCGAGCCTTTTTACAACCCCACCATATAAACTTTAGTTCATGGTAAATAATATTAATAATAGTAATTACAGAAAGAATTTTGATAAGGAAAAAGAAGCTGACTTTGTTCTGCATACTACTATGTAAATCTCGTTCAAAAGAAGACATTGTAATAATGGCGACAATGAATTACAATAACGACACAAATGAATTTATCTGTCTTTAAGTTATTAATTAATACCATTGTTCTAAAAATCGACCTAGGCGGGCGCTATGCGATGTCCGGACGCCTCTAATTTGCACAAATCGACAGAAAAAATCGATCAGGCAGCTAAGCGGCCCTAAGTGCTCCTTGGCAGGCTTAGCGGCCAAGTAGTTAGGCGGCGCCTAGTGCATAGGCGGACCTAGGCACTCCTAGGCGGGCTCGGCAGCAATTTTTCTTTTTTTAAATATTAATTACATTATTTTGTATTCATATTTTCTTTTAAATATATTAATTTTATTATTTGAACTTAAGTTTGTCGATTTGTCGATTTATTCGACTTTGTTTATCGGTGACCCAATTGTTGGGTCACCAAGAAAAGACAAAAGAAAAATTAAAAAAAAAAAAAGAAAAATCAACAAAAAGCGTGACCCAGGTCACAATGTGACCTAGGGTCACAACCGGTTGTGGGTGCTCATGGAACACTTGTCCAAATTTTATTGGACAAGTGTATTTTTAAAATAAAATAAAATTTAATTTGTATTTTTAAGGTGTAATTTATATTAATAATAAAAAATAAAAAAAAAATATTAAAATTCATATTTTTTTCATTCTTTATAAATAGAGAGCACATTTGGTATGTTTTGGAACATATTTGTAATTTACTAATTTTAATTTATGTGTGATTTTATTTGAAGTATTTGTAACTTGTTTAACTAATTTAGTATTTTGTTCTAATTTTTTGTTTAAATTTTAATTGACTTCGTAATTTTATATTTAATTATATGATAAAACATAATTATTAAAAATAATTACATCCTTAGTTATTATTGTTTTGATTAATTTGTCACGTCTAGAATAATAACACAAATCAATGGTAGATAAAACTTAATAAATAATTAAATAAAAATAAAATAAATATTTTAGATTAGGTTGATTGGAGATAAGATAATCTGAGTTGTAAAGTTGTAGTGGATAGTTAGAGAAGTGAGAAAATATTTTTTAATTGTTAGGTTGGGTTGAGTTAGATTATTGATAAGAATAGTCTTATAAGTTGAAATAATTTTATTTTATATGTAGTTAAAATAAATAAAAATAATGAATTAATAGTGATTTCTAGGCCCCGACTAGGCGCCGCCTAGGCCCCACCTAAGCACTCTAGACTAGGGCTGCAAACGAGTCGAGCCGCTCGCGAGCGCACGAGTCAAAGCTCAGCTCGAGCTCGAGTTTGACCGAACTCGTCAGCTCGAGTTTGACCGAACTCGAGTCGAGCTCGAGCCCATATTTTACATTGTCGAGCGGCTCGCGAGCAGCTCGAGATATATGAAATTACTAAAATACCCTTGTATCTATATGTATTTAATGATTATTTTACAAAATTGCTTAAAAAAATTCGAACCGAACTCGAGCCGAGCTCGAGCATTTTGAATTCGAGTCGAGCTCGAGCTCTTGTATTTTTTTATCGAGCTCGAGCTCGAGCCTCATAAATCGAGCTCGACGAGCTCAAACTCGAGCGGCTAAAAAAAATTCAATCCTGCTCGATGAGACCAATGCTTGACTCGATTCGGTGCGGGCGCCTAACGACTTTTATAACATTGATTAATACCATTTATTTTCAGAAGATAGTAAAGGACAACTTCATTTTTTTCCAGCATTCACAAAAAGAAACCGACGGATCGGACAGTTACAAATTAAAAAATGGCAAATATTACATAACGCAATAAACCGACGGATTCCTCTACAAATTCACAATCTATATCAACTATACAGTCATAAAACAAAAACATAATTAA